CCCCTGTGTTCCCAGCACCGCCACTGCCGCTGCAAGTTGCAACGGCTCTCTCTCTCCCCCCTGTGTTTTTACGATCGCCACCGCCGCTGCAACATGCAGCAACAGTGGTTTAGTGAGTAAAAATATTTAATTATAAATTATTTTTATTAATTATTATTTAATTAAAAAATAATTATTTTTCATTAAATTTACTTGTGTTATTTATTAACTCTAGGTTCCTATTTTTGTTAAAAATGGCTTTCAGATGGAGATGCTTCAGTCGTGACTAATGCCAGTTAATAGAGTTTCAACACGAAGCAACCAACGCCTAGGCAAGGTTTGGTCTGAGACTGGGAAGAAGGCAACCGCAAGCAACGGGTATCGACGTGATTCTAGCTTGGCCAATGTAGAGAACTGAAAATAGGGGGGTTCGTTGAGCAGATCGCCACTGCTAAGAGTTACAGAGATGATCCATAACGAAAACCGAGAAAGCTGTAAGGAAGAAGAAGAAGGAGAAGGATGGGGGAAAAAGGAATAAAGAGAGAGAAGGGAGCTCCGGGTAGGTTTTCCACCACTGTTTTTTCTTTCATCGCAAGGAAGATGATCAATAGTGCCCAAAATCGTAGGTTGAGCCAATTCCCCTTTAAACGCATTCAGGTTGGCTTTTTATAATGGAACCAAGGGTATTTTGGTCATTTTAGTGTCAAGGGGTGTCAAATCGAGATTCCAATATAACGATAAGGGTTCTAGGACAAAGATCAGAGGGTTGAAATGGGTCTGAGAGTGTATAGAGGTTTTGTGTATGCAGACTAGTGAGATTGACCAAAATGAAATCTTTTAAAATTGATGGGTAAATAGAGGTATTTTTTATTGAAATTTGGAAAGGTGGGGTTTTTTGGACATTCTGAGCTGATTGGTGGGGTCAGATTGGGCCAAATGGTCCTAGATCGAGAAGATCTGGCAAGGACTTGATTCGATTAATCTGTGGCTCAAAACAGAATCTTTGTGTGATCGAGGGGTAAACAAGGTTTGTTTTGGGTGAAATTTCACAAGGTAGGGTTTTCGGGTAGTCGAGATCTGGTGGTAATGTCTGATTGGTTAAGGGGGGGTCAAGATCATAGAAATTTAGGTCAATGAGATATTTCGGAATGAAATCTTTGTTTGATGGAAGGGCAAATGGGGGAATCTAGGTTTGAAACTTTATGGGCTAGTGTTTTGATGTATTCGGAGTTTAATGGTGTGACCTAATCAATTCAGATGTGTCAAGATCAAGCGAATCTGGCTTTGAGTGCTTAGGGAGAGGCGTCAGAATGAAATCTTTGCTTGACGAAGGGATAAACGAAGGAATTTAAAGTTCAAATTTCAAGGGTAGGTGTCTTGGAAGCTTCTGGGTCTAATGGTCATGTCCGCTCTAATGGTTGAGGTGTAAGTGGGGGTTGATCGGGGCTATCAGATAGATATCGGGCAAGTTTAATGGTGGATTTGGGGGGCTTTTAAGCTGAAAGCTAGGATTTTTGGGTTTTTTGGTGTTTCGGAGAAATCAAGAGTGTCTGATCAAGAGTTTGGGGTGAATTAGAGGTTTAGGCGGCGCGAACTGAACAAAAATCGGGTGCTAACAATAAGCTATAAGTTTTTTAAAAAACAAAAAATATAAAACATAAAATCCAAAAGTTTTTGTTAATTTCTATCACTTGAAAATATCAATTTTTCTTCGTTTCTTATTTTACATTTTGTTGTTAAGATTTATATTTTACTTTTTATTTAATATTTTGTTTTATTAAATATATGCAAGTTTTTTCTTAATCAATAAATAATATTTCAACCAAAACTAATGGCCTATAAATTTGTTATTTAACAAAAAATGACAAATATATGGAATAGACATACTTTCTAAAACATAAAGAATTGTGCTGGAAATTTAGAAAATGGAAAATATAAGATATAAATAAAATCCAAAATTTTCTTTCCAACCAAAACCAATGACCTGTAATTTGTTACTTGATAAAAAATATGACACATATCGAATAGACATGCTTTCTAAATTATAAAGACAAAAGTTGTAAGTTATTTAAAGAAGTAGAAAATATAAAACATAAATAAAACCCAAAAGTTTTTCTTCATTTTTGTCACCTGAAAATATCAAATTTTCTCCATTTTTGTGATATGCAAGTATGCAACCTCTACCATCAAGTGTTTTTCTTCTTTACCTGGAAATTGCTAATAATGGCACCATCCGCCCAAATCTTATTCATTCCATTTCTCTTGACCCTAAAGCATTTTACTGATATAAGTGAGAGAAACCCCAACCATCTTAAATGTTTGAAACAAAGGAGACCATATGAAAAACAGCCCAAGGGCTAACGCTTACAGCTTCATAAGAAGTTGGACCAAGTTATACAATAGTCCCTAGATCTAGTACCCGTATTTCTTGTTATCCGATCCCTTTCTAAAAAGCCAGAAAGATCATTTGCTGATCTGGGTGACCACATGAATGAGTGG